CAACAAACTATGACTTTACTGTTCTTCTTTTTACTCCAATCATCACCAAGAGCCCGAATTACTGGTAAATAAAGTTGATATGGGAGAGATTTTCCATATCCGGTAGGTAAAATAGCGAGGCAATTGTTATTATTCAGAATAGTCTCCAATATTTCGACTTGTTTTTCTTTAAGACTGTTTATTTTTGTTTCTTTCAAGACGACATGGAAAGCACGTTGATAATCCGCCATTTTCCTTCTAATACCGACCGTTTTCTAATACGTGTTATCTGATTGGTCAATATTTTCTTATGAATATGCAGACTCAAAGTTCACTCAGAGATTGACCCTTATGAGAGTTCTTCAGACCCTACTAACGAAGTGATATAGTAGGGGCTGGCTTTAGTCAGACTGATTATACGTGATACATTATATTATACCTTAATGTAGAGATAGCGAACAATGTTTTACCTCAATACAAATCAGGGGGAGAGCAAACACGGACCTCTAAAACATCATAGGTGGGATCAGGTGCCATTGGGGAGCGAACATCCTTCGCTGAAAGGTAACATCCTCCGTGTGCAACTTGTAATGGTTTGGGAAAAAACGGAACTAGTATATATTATGTAATATATGAAAATAACAACATAATTAGTGTGAAACACGATTGTTCATATTTGAATTATCCTTACAGATCAGCCTAATGACTGTAAAGAGCTGTACGACAGAGGACAGAGAACGTCTGGTGTGTACACTGTATACCCCTGGGAGACCCACAACCCTGTCTGCCGTGCTGTGAAGGTCTTTTGTGATATGGAGACCAATGCCGGAGGGTGGACAGTAAGATAAAAAAAAAGATACAAGTATTTAATTTTCTTTACTCATATTTGCTGGTACTAAATGTAAAAACAACATGAAAATGAAACATTAATTCTTTAATTTTTTTATTCTGAGTTATTAAAGTTTTTCATGTTTATATATTTTAAAAGGCTATTCAATTGCGAAAAACTGGATCTGTTAACTTCACCCGGAATTGGCATGATTACAAGGTCGGGTTCGGAATCCCACAAATGGATTACTGGATTGGTAAGATTGTAAGGCTTTCTTTAAACAATTGTTTGGTTTCCCTCTTCTCACCTGCTGACCAGAAATGGCCAGACTCAAATTTTTTTCTCCCATTTTAGGACACTATATTTATTATTGTTATCCTTCATATCCTGTCAACAAACATGTTATTTCTGGAAAAAACACAGGATGAAAATCCACCATTCAGTCGACTGAATGGTGGCTGAATGGCCACTGAATGGTCACTGAAAGGTCACTGAAAAGACCCTTTCCCGTGACCTTTCCGTGATCATTCAGTTACCATTCAGTCTACTGAATGGCACATACATTTCAGTGACCTTTCCGTGATCATTCAGTTGAATCTTTTTATTGAATAATCGGCTTATTTTTTTACCTAAAAATTTTATTTCACTTTTTCCTGGTATAATAGCATTAAATGTATCTAATTCCGAATAAAAAAAAAATAGGAAAAAAATTAATACAAGAAAAAAAATTGCTCCCATGCCCAGAATCGAACCCTGGTCTCCTGCTTAGGTGTCCGCGACCTTATCAATTGCACTACGACTTCTTGTTGAGAAATGAGGATTTAAAATCAATTAATTTATAAAAATCGATGGAACAATCAGTTCACCTGTTGTTTCGAGGAGCTGCGATGTGTATATATCTTGTATATCTTTTGTATATTCTATGTTAGTTGCGCGGATTTTGGGGACATGCTAATTAATTACACATCTCCTATCGGGATGATGACAATTATCAGAGACGGGCACCTGTTCCTGTGTCAAAGATTTAAGATCGTTGTAAATTCTCTATCTACAAACTTAGTAGAATGATTTTATTAAAGCAATATCATTTAGAAAGCTAAAATCTCCTATATATTTTTTTTCTACAAGAGGCATGTATAAACGATTTATTTATTCTTGTAATTAAAAATGAATTTAAAATAATGTCTTTCAAAAACTAAATATCCTGCAGTTTTGACAATGACATAATTAAGAAACGAAATTGATCAGTAATACTTGCGAACTTCCAGAAATGGTTTAAATAATATAAATTCTGTCTCATCAATCACAACTATATATTTCCATGAAAAAATACACGTATAAGCACTATAGAATGTTATGCATTTATTTAAATTTTGAATCGGTTATCGGATCATCATTTTTTATCACTTGAGGAATTTTTGTTTTCTAAATGTAACTAGAAAATTAAAAATCATTTTTAAATAGGTCTCACATATTTTATTTTGGGGACATGCTAATTAATTACACATCTTCTATCGGGATGATGACAATTTTCAGAGACGGGCACCTGTTCCTGTGTCAAAGATTTAAGATCGTTGTAAATTCTCTATCTAGAAAGTTAGTAGAATGATTTTATTATAGCAATATCATTTAGAAAGCTAAAATCTCCTATGTATTTTTTTTCTACGAGAGGCATGTATAAACGATTTATTTATTCTTGTAATTAAAAATAATAATTACTTAGACATATTTTAAGGTACCCGAATTTGATCACGATAAGTAAAAAAAAAAACACAATTAAGATTGAATAATAAATCTTTATTCAAAATATTGCTTCCTTGTTAAGGAAAAATATCGGATTATAAAATAATACGCTAGTGAAAAATTGGTAAATTGAGACTTAAATATCACTGAAAGGTCACTGAAAGACGACAGAAAGGTCACTGAAAGTCGACGGAATGGTCACTGAAAGACGACAGCAAGGTCACTGAAAGTCGACGGAAAGGTCACTGAAAGACGACGGAAAGGTCACTGAAAGTTGATGGAAAGGTCACTGAAAGTTGATGGAAAGGCCACTGAAAGTTGACGGAAATGTGTCCGCTGAATGGTGACTGAAAGGTATCTGAAATGTGACTGAAAGGCAACTGAAAGGTCACTGAAATGTATGTGCCATTCAGTGGCTGAATGGCCACTGAAAAGTTACTGAAAGCCGCCTTTCAGTTTTAACTGAAAGGTCTTGTTTCTTCCTGTGAAAATTATAATCTTTCCTTATTCGTGTCTGCATTGTTGTCATGTAGAACTATCTGATTTTTTAACAAAGTAGGATAAGTCGAAAGGAACGAAAAATAACTCTTGAATGTAACGGACAAGTTTTGAGTTCAGAAAATTATTTAATTCTTTTTCACAAATACATTTGAATGTGAAATACTAGTATGTAATGTCATTCAAAGCAGCTCTGGATGCCAAGTGCAAGTGAACTCCGGATTCTAGTGATGGCGTTAATAGTTTTTCACTCTATTCAGAATCATTCTTTTAGAAAATAAAAGAAATAAAATAATTTCAAAAATCGATTTAAAAATATATATTTTCCTTACAGGAAATGACGCAATTCACCAGCTTACGAAAGATCGGCCATCTTTGTACATACTCCTAACTAATTATGGCGTTACAAAGTACGCGGTGTATAACGAGTTCTCTGTATCGGATGAAAACGACAACTATAGACTCTTCATAGCCGGACCTGTCACAGGCACTCTAGGTAGGGACAGGCCTATTTCACAGACACTCTAGGTAGGGACAGGCCTATTTCACAGACACTCTAGGTAGGGACAGGCCTATTTCACAGACACTCTAGGTAGGGACAGGCCTATTTCACAGACACTCTAGGTAGGGACAGGCCTATTTCACAGACACTCTGGGTAGGATCACGCACTCTTTGTAGGGACAAGCCTTTTAAATGGCACTCTGGGTAGCGACACGCGTATTTCAAGGATCCACCTTGCGAATCTGATTAAAAAAGATCATTCGGAGAGCATTGCATTAGCAAAACTAGTCTCTGAAAATTCGTAATCTAGTTCCCATTTAAAATTAAAAATTCTTAATAATAATTCTGTAAAAAAAATAACTGTAGCGGAACAAAATGCAAACTTGATCTGTTACTCATCAAGAAAAACTCAAATACCAAACCAAAAATCAGCTCAATATTTTTAGAAAAGCGTTAAGAAAAAAATGCGGAAAAAAAACTAAGTGGGACGGAGGACAAACTCGGTGAAAAACTAAAGTTCCTTCCGGTTTCATCAGTTTGGGACAAATAAGAGATTATGCATGGTGATGCCCAGAAATAAAACTTTTTAACGCATATTGGCTTGCTCTAGGCGGTAAAAGGGAATTGAAATGTAAAAGGGGTACGTTATGTTAATATATATTAAATTTTAAAGACATTAGAATTTATCTTATAAAACGAATCTCCTGAGAGCCCGATTTCCAATTAAGGATTCAAATACATATACGTTGTCTCATAACTAGTTTTAAATTACAAGACATTTGTAAATGCAAGTATCCATTCAACCAGTAATAATTATTTGGTTCTGTTGAAACAGGAGATAAAATGATAAATACAGACCGATCACACAATGGTATGCCATTCTCAACCCCGGACCTAGACAAGGATACTTCCGGTAGCAGGCGCTGCGCCGACATCATGGCAGGAGGTTGGTGGTTCAGTTCGTGCCACCGGGCTTTCCTGAACGGGCCCTGGGCCTCGGTGAACTGGCGGGAGCCCTGGTCACCCGATCTAATGGATGGACTGGGTATTACCGAGACAAGAATGATGATAAGACCTCGCTAAATACACGTTATGATTCTCTAGAGCTTATAATTTGTGGGTTTTTTTATTTATTTTTTTTTAAAAGAAGAGGGCGTATAAGGCATGCATAATCCCCCGCTCTGAGACAAAATATTTCTCAATATTCAAAATTCACAGAAAAGTTTTTTTTTTCTGAAATCATGTTCTCAGTAATGTCATCTTCAAAACATTTTATCATTTTATTTTACTGAAGGACTTATTATTTTATAATCTTTATTTCAACGTTGACAGTTAAGCATATTCAGTGGAAAATAGGTTTACTAGAGCTATGTAAAAAATGAATTTTGAACATGAATGGGTCAAGTCTCCATTTTTCGTTAACGCTTAAATGGTTGAAACGTAAAAGTGGTATCTATTTCATTTGTCCAAAAAAAAAATGGAATATGAACCCATTCTATATGAAAATCGAAAATTTCTGAAAAAATGTTCGTTTCAACAAACCCGTTCGTTTAAATCACACTAACAAACGTCGATAATGCATATACGTCGTAGCGTAGTGGTTAAAGTGGTCGGTCTTGGACCAAACCCTGCGCTATGGAGAGAGTTTGAATCTTTCTTTTTTGTTTTCACATATATTAAAAACATGAGTGAAAAATAAATTATTAAGGTTAGACGACACGTTCCTCAAAGATATATTTCTTTCCTAAGAAAATATCATTTAAACACGTTTCCTAACAAAAAATTAGGGTACCTTACCAGGCATTTGGCCAAGATACCATAAGGTCATATTTCTTATAGCCCTTATGAGTAATTTTCTAAATGGCCTATAACACAATTTTTGTGTACTTTATATATTTAAAAACATTTTGAAAACAATGTAGAAATCAGAAGAAAATGACAGATATGAATATTTTTTTTATATAATATCAAGAGATACAAAACATATATTTGAGGAACATTTCGTCTGACCTTAATACAAATTAAAACAATGGAACACAGAATGAAATGTGTAAAAGATGATATAAACAATATAATTTTGAAAAATTTAACTTTTAGAATTGAGAAATGTCTTGTCTCAGAGCGGGGGATTTCACGCCTCGCCTTTCACGCCTCCATTCTTCGAAACAAATTGACTTCTAAGTAAGAAAAGACGTTGCAGTTAAAGGATTCTATTGTAACACTTTCTTTACAAAAATACAAATCCTTAGATATCTGGATTTCTTGTCAAGAAAATGGCCCTTTCTCTGCTGCATTGCTTAGAATACGGTACTCAGTATAAAAGATACGGTTGTTTTCTTTTGTATATTTCCTTGTTGTTAACCATGTATCTATTCTTACTCAAATATTTGCAATAAACTTTTATTGTCACATCGAACGGAAAATTGAGTAGTCTGTCAATAAAGTTTAACTTATACGTACTATACGTTTCTCATTTATGCTTAATCACTATTGTTGAGTGCATGCAAAAGTTCACTAATGAGTATTTTATACCTTCAATTAAGGTTCTGATAATAATTTGTTTGATCCTATAATCAATACTCTGATGTCTGTCTCAGATCGAACTTCAATATCACGAACTGTCTTTTATATCGTTCATGAAACGAAGTGTAGATTTTTGATTGACATATGACTAAAAGGCTTCCCTTTGCTGTACATTTTTCTCACCATCTTCAAAGTATTCGCTTATAAGCTAAGTTTATCGCTTTATTAAATATTAATACAAACAAAAAACGAGGCCCAATTTTGAACTCCTTTCATCAAAATGATGCAAACGATTTCTAAATTATAAAGTCCGTAGACGTCTGAAACAATTTAACTGACAAAACAAAATCTCTTTCAGCGAAAGATGTCATTTTAAAGTAGGATAATAATTGATATATATTCAAAATACGAGCTTGAATTGGGGGTCTGAAAATGAGTTAGGTACCTTGTGGTAAAAACTATTAAGGGGGTGCTCCGTATCAAACCAAGTGTGGTCTTATGTCTCTCTTTTTTATGCTTGCAGTATTGAAAATGAATATTTTTTTATGTTTCAACGTTCACAAAATCATTGAAAAAAAAAGAAATTCTTACTAGTCTCTTGGGAGTGTTTTGTGTTTTTGATTAGTTTTTGTACCAAACGTTACAAAATAAAAACCGACAAATCATAACACGACATACTATTATCTTTTAATTATTTAACAAATCAACGTAATAAGCTACATGTTAAATGTAAGTCTTTCAGAAAAACTCTGCAGAGCCATTAGATGCGATTGAGTGCATCGTCAGTTTTAACTCCAAAATTTTGTTTAAAAAATGAAATAAAACAAACCCAATACTAAACAGGCAAATAATTCTCCCACTGAGGTACTTCATTATTGATTTGTCTTTTAAATTTTACAATCACTGAGGTATATGTAGAGTCTTTTAATTGGATGGGATCGAGATAATAATTATACACGTATAGCTTTTATATTTTTTGTACGAGACAGATTAATGAGTACATTTGCAAATAATCGATTTATTAAATCCCATAAGATGACTTGACTTTTAATAGTTTCCATCGTTTCGATTTTTTTTAGCTCTACTGGTCAGAGACCAGAAGAGCTTATGCGATAGTAATGCGTCCGGCGTCCGTCCGTCTGTCTGTCTGTCTGTCTGTCCGTCTGTCTGTCCGTCTGTCTGTAAACCCTACTCCTTCTACAGTTCTAGTTTGATTTCAAAATAAGTTGGCACACAAGTAGACTACCCTAAGATACATAGAATATTGCATCAGTTTCTGATTTCGATGAACGGTGTTACCATGGTTACTAAAAATAGAATTTTCTGTGAAATTCCTTAAAAACGCTACTCCTTCTACAGTTTTGGTCTGATTTCAATATAACTTGGCACACAAGTAGGCTACACTAAGATACATAGAATAGTGCATCGGTTTTTAGCTCACCTCGACGAAGTCGAGATGAGCTTATGCTATACCCCCGGCGTTGGCGTCGGCGTCCCAGGTTAAAGTTTTAGGAGCAAGTCCATTCCCAAGTAACTATAAGCCCTACCTAAACCAAACTTGCATGGATGATGCATATAGGGATGTACACTACAAGACTTGCTTCGGATGCTGGATCTGACCTACATTTTCCAGATGAGTGACCAGGTTAAAGTTTTTGGAGCAGGTCCATTCCCAAGGAACTATAAGCCCTACTCGAAACAAACTGGCATGGATGATGCATCTAGGGATGTACACTACCAAACTTGCTTCGGATGCTGGATCTGACCTACATTTTCCAGATGAGTGACCAGGTTAAAGTTTTTGGAGCAGGTCCATTCCCAAGGAACTATAAGCCCTACTCGAACCAAACTTGCATGGATGATGCATCTAGGGATGTACACTACCAAACTTGCTTCGGATGCTGGATCTGACCTACATTTTCCAGATGAGTGACCAGGTTAAAGTTTTTGGAGCAGGTCCATTCCACAGGAACTATGAGCCCTATTTGGACCAAACTTGCATGGATGATGCATCTAGGGATGTACACTACCAGACTTGCTTTGGATGCTAAATCTGACCTACATTCTCATTCCCAAGTAACTATAAGCCCTATTTGGACCAAACTTGCATGGATGATGCATCTAGGGATGGACATTACCAGACTAGCTTCGGATGCTGGATCTGACCTATATTTACATTCCCAAGTATCTATAAGCCCTAGCTAAACTAAACTTGCATTAATGATGTATCTAGGGATGGACACTACCAGACTTGCTTTGGATGCTGGATCTGACCTACATTTTCATTCCCAAGTAACTATAAGCCCTAGGTTAGCCAAACTTGCATGGATGATGCATCTAAGGATGGACACTATCAGACTTGCTTCGGATGCTGGATCTGACCTATATTTTCCATACAAGAGACTTGGTTAAAGTTTTGGGAACAGATCAATCCGAATGAACTTGAAGACCTTGATATATGCAATATTAACAGTTATGAATATTTGTTTACACTATACATATACATATTTTTCACGCTACAGGCTTAGAAGTGTGTATATGCCATGTAAGGGGTTAAACACAACTTTCAAGAATATTGTTGTTGGGATGAATGCTAAATATTAAGAAAATATGAAAATATGTGAGATTTGCATTACTTAAACTGATAACATTCGTCGAGGTGAGCTTCGTAATCTTTGATTACCTATGTTTAATTTTGATGAACAGTGTTGCCATGGTTACTATAAATAGAATTTTCTGTGAAATTCCTTAACGCTACTCCTTCTACAGTTCTAGTTTGATTTCAAAATAAGTTGGCACACAAGTAGACTACACAAAGATACATAGAATAGTGCATCGGTTTTTAATTTCGATGAACGATCTTGCCATGGTTACTAAAAATAGAATTTTTTGTGAAATTCCTTAAAAACGCTACTTCTACAGTTTTGGTGTGATTTCAATATAACATGGCACAAAAGTAGACTACACTAAGATACATAGAATAGTGCATCGGTTTTTGATTTCGATGAACGGTGTTGCCATGGTTACTAAAAATAGAATTTTCTGTGAAATTCTTTAAAAACGCTACTCCTTCTACAGTTTTGGTCTGATTTTAGTATAACTTGGCACACAAGTAGACTACCCTAAGATACATAGAATATTGCATCAGTTTCTGATTTCGATGAACGGTGTTACCATGGTTACTAAAAATAGAATTTTCTGTGAAATTCCTTAAAAACCCTACTCCTTCTACAGTTCTAGTTTGATTTCAAAATAAGTTGGCACACAAGTAGACTACACGAAGATACATAGAATAGTGCATCGGTTTTTAATTTCGATGAACGATGTTGCCATGGTTACTAACAATAGAATTTTCTGTGAAATTCCTTAAAAACGCTACTTCTTCTACAGTTCTAGTTTGATTTCAAAATAAGTTGGCACACAAGTAGACTACACAAAGATACATAAAATAGTGCAATGGTTTTTGATAAGTACATACCAGTAGAGCTACAGTCTCGACAGAGACTTCTGGTTTCATACACACCGATTTTTAATGTTATATTTTTGGATTATCAATCACAAGCAATAACTTCACGTTGTCTAATTTTTTTGAGTTTATCGAAAATTCAGTTCAGGCAAATTTTTATTTTTAGAATTTTTATTGAAAATAGTTGAATCGAAAAAGGCCATAACAGACGTCTTACCTTAATAGAATACTGCTGAGGATTCGTACATAACCTAAAAAAAATCCAGGTCAGCATGGGCCTCATAGTGTGATAGAAATTTAAGGGAGCAGTTGAAAAGAATTTAACTACTATCTGAGTATGCTTCAAACCTTTATTAAATGCTATCATTATTTCGATATACTTATAAACTGGAAATGAGGGACTCTTTTCTAAGATGTTGATAGATAGAGTACAAGATGTTTGTAGGAAATTGTGAAAGAAATAATTAAAAGAAAGAAAGAACTGAGAGAAATTACATTATATATGTACAATTTTTTTTTCATATTGACATATATGAAAATCGTTATATGAAGAAATATCTTTTAACAGAAATCTTTTTTCCTGCACCAACGTTTCCTGTTCTCTCTTTTGAAGTAAAGCGCTTCTTTAAAATAATTGATAAGGGGAAATGACCTGAGTTAAGAACAAAGGAGATTTTACGACGTCCATGCCGTTTAATTGTATATAACTGTAAAAAGTGGCTAACACTGGGACGTATACCATTAAACTGGGGAGTAACTAGAAATTGCATAATAGACCCTTTTCCTGTGACATATTTTGTCTAGGAGTTATTCCCCTTAGCCTCCACCTTGTAGGGCAAAGTAGTGAATTTACCTCTTTGAGGATCCAATTTTTAACATGCATGCAAGAAATGTATGGAGGAAAATATTCGCAATCTTATAATCACGAATTAATAGATGCTTTAACAAACATATATTCATAAGTAAAATAGCATTATCTTTACCTCAGTAACCAGTAAAACAAATTGAACTTGGTTGAATAATGAAGGGATCTGAGAATGTTGCCTTACAATATGGCGGCTAAGGGGAATAACTCCTAGACGAAATATGTCACAGGAAAAGGGTCTATACAATGTACTACATTGTACTTGAACTACTTTAGAATTATTAAAATTCGATGTACATTTGTGTTCATACTATGGATAGTTGCTGACATAATGAATGAGTGATGGCTTAATCGTATCGAGGATCTTAATTTGTAATCTAAGACTATTAATTTTGAAAAAAAATATAAATATGGACGCTAACCTTGGAGCTTTCCATCTGAGTAATTCACAAAAAGATTTGACGTGAATACATTCATTACATTGAACAATAGATAATAAGAACATTAAAGAAAACCCATTTCTTAAAGACGAAATTGTTGCTAAATATTCATCTCCTTAATGTTAAAAAATTCCGATAAGAGTGCAAAAAATTTGAGTCCAAATGCAAAATTTTAAATTTCGAAATAAAAAGAGAATTTATTATTTTATATTGTCTACCAAAACCAGATAATTAAATTATTGAAATTTACCTTTCAAAAAATAATGATGGAAATCTTAAATCACTATTTTCTTTGACTAAATATACAAAGAAAAAGTCTCTCAACGCAAACAATGTAAGATAACGAATTTTAATAATTACAAATTTTACAATTTAGGAAATTAAAACGTGCATGGCTTTATTTCAATGGCTAGTTATTTGTCGAAAGGAATAGAAAGGGGCAGCATAATGTACCAAACTTGCATTTTGTTCTTTTATCTAATCACTATTTAGCAAATACCATACTCTTAATTCAAACTGTCGGTCAAGGGATTTGAGTCTGTCGGGACTGTGATTCAGGCATTTTAAATAACCAACCAGGACTTGTATGTTGTAAAGATATGTAAATTGTGTCGATATGATGGTTAAAAAAAATATGACAGTTATCATTTAGAATGCGGTTAATGAATCAACACATATTTTCTAATACAATGTGGCACTTCGTGTTTTTTTTTTTTTTTTTTTTTTTTTTTAAAAAGGGGATTTCATCTTGCATAAGGTACTTCCTGTACATATATGTATAATAAAAATGTTTGTATTACATATCTTGATCTAACAAATCATAAGAAATGTAAAATATTTGTCTACACGGATGTAATTATTTTTTTACGACAATCTTAGAGCAAGAAATAAAATAAAAAATGAAAGGTATGAAAAATGATTTCAGAACTGTCTCCTCATTATTAACATCAGATATTTTAATGAAATGAAAGCCTGGAGATTTATTTGATTTTTTAAACAACTGCTAATTTAAACGCTAGTTCGTGATGACCTTTCTCATATTTCACCGTCATCTCGCAAATAATTTCTTGCATTATTTATATGGCCAGCAATCTTAAGATGCATGAATTAAAGTTTATTTTAATTTTTACGCTTTTTAAGATCTTGTTTTGACAATTAGTAAAACATTCAAAAGCCGTCGTCACCTGTTATGTTACGAGGTCAAATTTTATCGTGGCAAAGCTAAAGTGACATAGGACGAAAATAAAATTAATGAACATAACTTGTTTGAAAATTTCTTCATTTAAATCGTAGAATATAAAATTTACTATCTACATAACACGGTCGTTTTGTTTACAAATGAGATTTATTTTACATTGCAAATGCGTTGTACAGATATTTTTTTTTACCATTTGATTAATGTAGTGACCACATGATTATAACACAATTGTGTTATAATTGAATATTAGTATGACAATAAAGTGTGTACATGTTTACCCTCAAGATAGTAAATATTACACTTTACCTTACATAAAAGTATTTTTTCCCAACGAAAAGAACGGATACATATTTGTGCTGAATATTTCACAGAAGGATGAAAAAGAATCTGTGGTAAAAGGTGATATTTCCTAATGTCTCCCTCAGTTAAAATTTTGGATGTTTTTAAATAAATCACTGCAATTCTTCAGACAACAAAAAAGGACGACATTTTACATTAGGTGTGAAGGTGAAATATTTATCTTCTGTGCATGCTTTATCTGATACATGGACGTGTTGAGGAAAATGGAGGAAAAAGACAGGGAATTTAAAACAAAAGGAAACGATGTAAAAAAGACATTTTCAAATATTGATAAAAAGCAGCAACAATTTAACAGTGCGAAGGTAAGATTTGAAACATAATTTAAGCACTATGATACCAGTGTGTAATATTGCTATAATTATAAAGATGTTTCTTCCATTTTATATCTGATTATGAAAGAATAATGTTTTTGATTTAGTACCTTAAGGTGTATTACCAAAATGATTTTTTTTGCACTTAATGTGTCGATATACTGAACTTTTTTAGTGAGCCATTTTCATAAGTATTTACTATTCTCGTTTTATGTATATAAAATAAAGAAAGAAACCACAAATCTCTTTGGCCAGATGTTCAACATATTTGCTTATTCTTGTCAAACTTCTCGAAAACTTGCTTTATGATAAGATTTATTTTTTAAATGCGAGGGGATAGAATCATTTTCATTTGTCTGTCAGTGTAAGAAATGCATCGTTCATAACTTACTCAAGACTTAAGGAGCATTAAGAATGATCATTAATTTGATAGAAGAGTTCACGCCCTTACCCGTATCCACGCATTTCAACGAATATTCTTTCTAATTTCTAACGCAAAATCACGCTAATACCGTTTCTCCGCTATCACGCATTTTTCACTCACTTTTAAAAGTGCACATTTTTGCTTAATTTAATGCCAATTCCATTCTATTTCATACTTCCTTAAATCTTATAAAAAAAAGAAAAGTTATAATCGTAATAAAATAATACATCATAATAATTAACGCTAATCTTTCGAGAAACGTATACCGCGCTAAAAAAGTAATTTAGGGGAATAGATAACGCCACATTTCCATGACGGGAATATTAAGCTTATGTTACATTAACTACTGTGTAAAATTTGTGAAGCTATCCCTAGAAGGTCCTGACGACTGTTCATAGTCCAGCATCATTATCACCGTAATTTAAACTATTCTTAATATTTAGTTAATGCTATTTTGTTCTCGAGAGCTGCAAACAAATAAGTACTGTCGGTAGGGCGCCTTCTCAATGATCGGAAGCTCTTCTGTTCAAATCGCAGCCGAGTTTGACCAGAGTCTATTTCAAACAAGATTTGTTGGTTGGTTGTATGTCGTTTTACGTCCAATACGAGAATATTTCTCTCTGAAAGAGACGTCACCATATACCTTTCTAGGCATCAGGGCCATTGAGTATTGAGGGATTTTTATCGATCCGAAGCCTATCGTGACACAGGGCCTTCTTTTGTAAGGTATCATCCGAAGGATCCGTAAATTCCACTTCAAAGTGCCGAGCGCATGCCGAAGGAACAGTTGCCACCCATTATTTATCGACTAAGGTTGGTTGCGACCTCTTTCATGGAGCGAGCGCTCTACCGACTGAGCTACCGGTGTAAACTATTACATGTAAATACAAGAAGCAAATATTCCTTCGCAAAGCCTCGACACTTAAAGATATGGGTTTTTCGGATGAGACCTAAATAAACAGGACCCTCTGCTACTCAGAAGTTGAGACCATTAGGAAACCTCATTGCTAAATGACCATGAGTGCAGCGTAAAATTAAAATTTAAAGCACTTCACCTCTGTATCAGTGAAAATTTTTTGAATAAGAAATAAAGATTGATTTGATTTTTTGGTGTTTTACTATTTTATTGTCGGCAATATTTCAGTCATATTTCGGCATCAAAGAACATAAACTAAATCTATCCATCATAATTCTTGTGTAAGCGTCATAAATCGCAAATGTCTACCCATATAGATAAAGACTGAAAACAATAATATTTATCTTTTTGTTAAAATTGTAAAAAGAAGGCAAACATTTTAATACATTTCACGCTAGATCATTTAACGATTACTTTTATTTTTTTTTTTGACATATTTTGATCTTGCACTAATATTTTCACTTAAAAATTCGTACAAACTCGTGTTCTATTTTCAGACTGCACCGGATTCAGAAGTTCCTACTTGGGTTTCCCTGATGTGTAGCAGAAGAAACTGCTGTGGAACTGAAAGCAATTTCAGATCGATTGATTCCAACTCCCTAGGAATAGACAGTACTTTCGGTGAGCCTGGAAGCCCTTCAGACGTTTCATCGTTAGGTTCCAATAATGGCAGAGGATTCCGAGAAAATTATAAATCAAAGCGAGGCAGAATGGCAGTACTGTTTATAATTTTATTAATTTTGATCGCTTTCATCGCTACAGCAGTTGGAGTAACAATAAGCTACGTCTATAATCGAGGTGAGAGAAATATGTAAATCAAAGTAATTTTTTGATATAAAGATGCTGGAAATATTTTGTAACTTAAATATCATAAAGACTAACAATTTTCTTAAATTATTAAAATTAAAAACAATTAAGCAGACAATCCCCATACATCCATCTGTTGACGTCAAAATTAAAGGTACAATGAAAGCATATAGAAAATTACTGCATAATGTCCAAAACAATATATGAGACTTAGAAACCGAGGCTCTGTGTCACTTTAAAGATCAAAATTTGAAGTCCTTTATCGATATATGGTGACGTCCCTTTCTCATTGACATATTCTTCATTGAGACGTAAAACGATCAACCAATCCAAATAAATATTAGGACATTTGTGTTAACAATGATAAATATGTTTCATGTTTTACGAAAATTAGTATTTTAAACTTATTTCAGACTCAAAACCTTTGTTTTTCAGCCCGACCCCAAACCAGTTTTTTTTTTCTGTCAGCCCAACCCCTAAAAAAACAAACATTTAATTTCTTAACAGTATTGTTAGGAATATCTGACAAGCAATGAACTTTAATTTACATTTTGAAATAGGGAATCAAAGCATTTTGAGCAAAGATTAGGTGAAAGTAAATGTGTATAAATGGTCAAACATCAAAATGTGTGTTCTCTAAATGCAAAAGTGCAACATGTCTTCAAGCTGTCAAATAAATCTTATACATTCATTCATATTTTAATATATTCAAAACGAACAGAAATTATGTAACAGTAGGGGAAAAAGTACATCAATAGACAAGTTTCGTCTAGAAATATATGCCACGTGTTAATAATCGAGGAATGTTTTTTTCCAAATAATCCAAATAAATATACACTATTTTAACTTAATGTGAACCGATCTTGTCGAATTGACAGGCGCCAATCATCAGAACAAACGCCACTACTACTGGCTCTTCAGATCGAGTTACAATTATAATATGAATGTATTTATACATGTATTAAAAATTGAGCAAGAATCAAACATTAATGATGATTGAGGGCAGACCGACATAAAAATGAGTTCTCACATGATGTGCATGTTTAAATGAAAATATTTAGGAAAATGTTTGTCAGCATCAAGATATATTAAAGAAGAATTATAATGGAAAGTGTAAGTTACGGTGCTAATCATTCGAACCTGGCCAGGTCTTTGATACTAGAGTTCACAATTTTGTTCACAGATATAGTAAGACTCCATGTGGATTTCAGTGTTGATAATTACAACAAAACACTCTTACACAAGAGACAACAGGAAGCGGAAGCAGCTGAATTTTGTAGAAAGGTAAGGATTTTTAGGAGTGGTTCATAGTCAATGTGAGTAAAGACTCTTAAAAATTCAAATGTCAGGAGGATCACAATAATTTAATTAATTTGACAGATAGTATCAGATATTTTTTTCCCTTTATTAATAAGTTGAAAAAAAAGAGAAAAGTTATTGATATGGACTTTTTTTTTTCGGAAAAAAAAAATTCAAATTTTAAAACCATTTAAAATTCATCGCAAATGTAATCTGATTTTCGATACTACATTTGTAATAGATTGTCGCAATTTTCTTTCAGATACAATTATAATGTATTTCTCTGTATTTATCATTAATCAGATACTAGAGATCATTTTTTGGATTGCCCAACTTGTTTGGTAAAGCTTTTTGGGTCGAAAATTATATTTACGGTACAACACTGTAAAATGAACTTTTAGGGGAATGTAATTAATAAGTAACATTAATGAATCTCGATTGAGGGATGCTCATTCCTCCATGGCACCTGATCCCACCTCTGATGTTTGGGAGCTCCGTGTTTGCTCTGATTCTTTTTTTTTTTTATTGTTTTATGGATTTTTTATCTTGATTACTGTTGTTATCTCCCTATGTTTCATGTTTGACGTATAGAATTAGAATAGAACATTAACCGGGGTTTTAGTGATTTCTTCTAATCGAATTTAGTTAAAAATAAGAAAGATTGTTTGAACATTTGAAATTCAAGGGAGGGCAAGTTGTATATTTGTATTCAGATTTCACTTTTAAATTGCATCCTTCACAATTTTGTTGGAAATATTTTTAGGTGAAGGATGCGTTTCGTTCAGAAGGACTTGAGCATCATTTTATGGATTGTAAATGTGTCGACACCAGGTAAGATAAAAGTTGATGAAATAAAAATATCAGCAGTTTCGCTTAATGTCATAATTTTTATGGTCAATACAATGACCTTGTCAGCCAATTCAATTGATAATTGAGTCAAATGCTGACTGACCTTATTTCATACTAATTGTTAGTCCATTATTTAAACACTGAATTGAATACGGATTTTTCCGTTATTTCCCAATCATGACAATGAGCACACGGCAGGTGAGACTCCTCCATGGCACCTGATGCCACCTCCGATTTTTTTGAGTTTCGTGTTTGCTATGCTCCTATTTTGTATTGTTGTATGGACTTTCGATCTTGTATACTGTATTCGTTATCTCCCAATTATTCTATAGTCTTTACCACCACATGCCAAAACTGTTGAATAGATGGTTAAAAAAAATTGTTCTCTTCAAATTGAAGCCAGTGTTGTTAAAAAATCTTTGGATAGAATTTCTAGATAAAATTTTCACGTTAAATTCTACCGAATTAAAAACTTTTTGATATTTGATACTTATACTTAAATTGCAATTAAAATTATAATTTGCTGAAGGTAGAAAAAAAAATTTAAAAAAAATGAGGAAAAACTCCATTTATTAAAATATTTTTTTTCAGAAAAGAGTACTGCTCATTTAAACTTAAAATGTTGGACTAGAGAATTTCTTTGCTTTCAGGCCAACAATAAGCGAAGTGAAATTGTCCTTTGTCCTTGAATTCACTGATAACAAACAGAAAGACAATATAGACGAAATCAAACGTATCGTCGTAAGTGTTGTCAAGGAAAGGAAGAGGGACAAAGAATTTAGATCATTGTATCCCCAGGAGTCTTATCCAGCAGTAGACAATAGAGGTAATATTATAAATGTATTTATAAGGTGGTATATGAAGGTACATTGAAAATAGACCAAAAATCAGACAATTACTTATCTGGCACGTAGCAACCGGGGGTGCACTTTTTTCAAAACCTAACTTTTTACGATTAATTCTAGCTGCAATAATGTAGCCCTCTCCCTTTTTTTGGGGGGGGGGGGACTACAACTCCATAGGATCTCTGTAATGGTGCAATGCGGCAGCGATTCACTCCCGCACGGATTTCGGCCCAAATTGTCAGTAAACGGCTATTTATTAATATGTCTTACTTGGACTTCCAAAATGTAGTTATCGCAGACATAAATCGAACCAAAAATATACAGAACAATCCATATATCCATATTTTTCGTGTATGTCAACATCACAACTTAAATGTATCCGCCATGTTTACTGACCTTGACAGATTTTTTGGGACAGCCAATGAGATTAAGGATCTATAGGGAGCGGATTTCTTTGGAATTACCTTATTTTAAGCATAAATATCGCTGTTTCAAGGCACACATGGAATGTTTTTATTTATCAATGTTTACTATTACTATTCATCACAATTATTAACAAACTTTGACATTTGCTTTATTAGGTTAATTTAAATTTCAAGCGCAAGTCTCAGTATGTCACGTGTGAACTGTCATGGCTGCTGAATAAGGCACAGAGGTTTATTTTACATGGTTTTCGTGTTAACGGGCTTTGATGTCGACAGTGAATAAAAATTTCGTCTAATTAAAAGTTGAATGTAAAAACAATTTATTCTGCCTGCAGTCGCCCGTATTTAAAAAAATATTTTTGCACCATTTAATAAGATGATGCTATGGAATTGTAGCCCTCTCCAGAAAACATCAGATAAAAAAATCGGAGAGGGCTACATTATTGCAGCTACGATTGAAAATGTTCTTTAAAAGGCCAGTTGCCTCCCCCCCCAACGTTTTGTAAGAGTAAGGGTCAATTAAGTGTATTGTAGTATATTAGAAAGAATGGTATTGAAAGAAGTTAAACTTTACACACACACCCACCCTACAAGGAATTAGGATTTTGGAATCTGAGCAGTTTCGTTTCTCTCTCTGTTATTTTTGCTTGTCAAGTTTATTTAAGGTAGGTTGATATTTTCTATATGGCCTCCCCCCCCCCCAAAAAAAACTTTCAAAAACGATGCTACGTCACTGCTTATTAATACATTATACAATTAAAGACAGTCTCAGCTGGCTCACAAAAATGGACCAAATCTGATTACACTTATAGATGACAAATATACCAAATTGCAGGCGTTTATTGTATTCAAATAACTACATGTATCAGAATAGAATAAAGCTATATACGTGTAACTTTTGATTGAGAGGAAATAGGATTTCATATTCAACATGTAAATTACCTGAAAGATGTTTTAGAGAATGCTATAATTATTGTTCCCTTGACCCTCACTTTTGACCTAATTTTAAAAAAATACTTTTGGTGATTTTTTTTTTTATTAACTTTCTAGAGGGCATTTATATTTTACACAATATCCCCAAAATATTGGCATCCCATCAACTAAGATACCGAAAGCGGGGAACCTTTTTTTTCAAATTTTATGAATGAGATTGCATGAACGTTCATGGTTTTTTATAGGTCATGCGTGAATCAATATTGGAGTATAATCGTTGCTGGATCAGTATTTTGCTGTTTCAATCGTATGAAATGGTGCCGATGTAGGAATAAGCGTATAAATTTCCTTTTTCAAGTCGATCGGAATGTAAATGTTTATAGCCATTGTTTGTTTCTCCTGTTCTCCTTATGTTAAAAAAATGAAATGAAAATAATTTATCGAATAAAGGTATATAATTGATTTTTTAAAATAAAGGTATATAATTGATTTTTTAAATTTTTTTTAAAAATAAATGATGAAATCTGTCGATTTTTCTTGAGTGGCACTTTTAGTATTTCTTTACATTTATCTATGTATGGATGTTTAAACGGTATATAGCTATATAAAGACTGCAAGTTGACGATAGAAAAGTTTAGGTGTTCACCTTTTAGCTAGTTAGCTCTACTGGTCAGAGACCAGAAGAGCTTTTGCGATATTAAGGTGTCCGTCTGTCCGTCTCTCTGTCTGTCCGTCTGTCTGTAAACAATTTTTCAAAACGCTATTCCTCCTACAAATTTGGTCTGATTTTAATATAACTTGGCACACAAGTAGACTACACTAAGATACATAAAAAAAGTGCATCGGATTTCGATTTCGATGAGCGGTGTTGCCGTGGTTACTAAAAATAGAATTTTCAGTGAAATCCCTTTAAAACGTTACTCCTTCTAAAGTTTTGGTCTGATTTCAATATAACTTAGCACACAAGTAGACTACACTAAGATACATAAAATAGTGCATCGGATTTTGATTTTGATGAACAGTGTTGCCATGCTTACTAAAAATGGAAATGTCTGTAAAATTCCTTTAAAACTCTACTCCTTCTACAGCTCAGCTTTAGTCTGATGGCAATGGCTTCTTTTCTCATCCTTTGTTATAAGTAAACCAGTAGAGCTACAGTTTCGACAGAGACTTCTGTTTTTTTTTATGAGTAATGACATCTATTCTTGTAAAATATACAAATTTGAAAAAGTTTCTTCATTATGATACACAATAGAATTCCTAAAGGCTTTTGGGAAATCTTGTCTAATGAAGACAAAAATACTTACAATTTAATAATACATACAGATACATTTTTTGTATATAGTTGTAGTGTAACTGTTCTCATTTTTCAAATCTCATAACGTGAGCACTTCTTTTTATCATTTGAAATCAGGGCCTGTTGAGTTGGGAGAAAAGAAATCTAAAAACGAAGAAACCACACAATCGTCAATATTTCTGAAAACAACTCCAGCTGTTATAAAATCCACAACACAAAGAAATCGACAGATATTTTCAAAAAGAAGTTCAACTACACCAGGTTTCAAAACAACAGTTAGAAGCAATGTCAAGAGTACTGAGAAAGTGAAAGTCCAGACAACAACCGTGAGAACATCAACTTCGTCAACAACACCGGGTATGAATGCGTGGGACAGAATTCTATCCAAGTTGAACCTCACTGGAAGAAGATAAACGGTCTACAGAACTGATTCAATTGTTCTCTTTAGAAAACTCGATCATTGCAGCAGGTCACTTCTTTGGCCTCCTTGTGTATAAATTGTGATTTTGTTTGTTTGATCAGAGCTTCCTTGCGGTGCTGTCTCTATATCAGCTTACAAATAAACAGACATTAGTTCCTTGAGAACAGGAAGTTACATGTTTAATTAAAAGTTTTTCTTTAAATGTCTGTATATATTGCTTATTAAAAATTTCATACTGTAAGGTCTTTAGTTTTGAACGCTTTAATTGTCATCCTTGAAAAAAATGAATTTTAAAAAGTGGAAAACTATTTCATATTCAGCCAACAAAATGTATTGATCAGGCACACGTTCCATTTCTTTGTCATATTCAGAGAGAAAACACAGGTCAAACTAATAATAAGAAACAAAGCAACAAAATAACGCTCCAAGGATAGTCAATTTTTGCAAATAAAGTCATAATAAGGACAACTGACTTCACGAAATTAAAAGGAGGTTGTGGAAATTAATGCTACATCATGGCTATCCGTTGCTAAGGTATACTTTATCAAAGCCAATGTTTTACCTTTCCATTGATGAAATATATGGATATAAAGAGTAATATTCAAGCTGAAAAGTCATCTATAACTATACAAAGCAAGAGCAGAGAAAACACAGGTCTCCAAAGATGAGAGTTGAGATCAAGTGCCATGGAGTAGTAAGCATTCCCTGCTGACCCCGTCAAACCGGCCTTGTCCTAATCAGGAAATTAAAAAAATGTTTAAAAATATAGAATTTTTTGGGGTAATCAAATTTTTAAATTACTATCGCCGTCAATTTACATGGGACATTGTGAACAAAATCTGTTTAACAGGCAATGTCTGAAATTTTATTATTTCCCTCTTTGGAATGACATGAGACGACCCTCGTTGGACCCTAGACTGTGTTGCAAACTTTAAGGAAATATTTTTATATACACAGTTTATGGGTCTCTGGCATCTACATGTAGTGTTTCCGGTTTAAATGAGGTATTATGTACAGTGGGATTTAAGGTAATCTTTAAAACAGATACGATAGGTTGAGACAGCAATGATTTGGGGGATTTCTGAAAGAAGTCACGAAAAAAGGCCAGGGAAGAGAAGAAGCGTTTAGTCATTGCCCGGGATGATTTCAATCGTGGGGTACCAGCTACTGTTGGTGATAGTGCATGGTTTTTAGATCACATAAACATACAAAAATGCGTAAGGACAGAAAGCTAGCTGCTGTATTTTTGGCGGGGATGGAAAAGCTGTTACAAATTGGAGTTTGGAATCGTTATCGCTACATTTGTAGTAGAGCCGAGTTCAAAGGTGTGAATGCATGTGAGCATAAGTGTTTTAAAAACAAGTGTAATCGGGCCAAGAAATAATGTATTATGGTTTTTAAGAGACAGAAGGATGTTTTAGAAGTACGATACCATAGGGTTACTGAACTACTATTGATGTATATACATGGATGCGTGAGTTTGCCATGAAATTGCACGACTTTCGAGATTGTTCCTGTGTATAGCGACAAGTACCATATACATATATATTTACCAATAAAAGTTCCATGACTCCTGTTTTATATGACTGAAATATCTTCCATTTTTTTTCCAGATATTATTTTAAGTAATAAATTCAAACAAGATTTTTTATTAGTTTTCACTAAATTTTAAATTTGGTGTGAAAAAACACATTTTGCCTAACTGTCACTATCTTTCATTATATTTTTAACACTATCAAAACACACTGAATAGTTTACTTAGAAACATGTGCCTCCAGTAGGGGGCTGCAAATTCTGTCTTTAACTTGACACATACGCTCATTGGCAGTAACTGTTCTTTTTTCGTGTGGGAACCTACTGCCAAAACTTTATCTGAAAAAAGGAAAATTAGCAAAAAATGGAACAGGAAAGAAAACAACAAGTAAGAAGTGCTTATAGACTACATTTTGGAAAAAAGAGACTAAAATAAGGTTTTCTTTATCATTCTCTAATAGTGTTAACATTGCAAGATTACTCTCTTTTGCTCATATTTATGCTCGTGAAAAATTACGAAAGCTTAAAAAACAAGCTGAAGCAAGTGATGATCAATGAGGATCTGACCAGGCACAAATTCCTATTTATGTGTCGGCAGCTATGTCGCCAACATGATATTCAAACAAGCTTGGTCATCCAACATAAAAATCGGCATTATGACAGTTATTAAAAACTCATATAATCAAGACATGAAAACGATCTCTGTGCGTTCGGCTACATCCCCATACTACTGCATAATTATACCCGTCAGCTTTGACATCTCTCCTTTTTTATATATGTGTAATTGTCTGTTGTCACCGCCAATTGTGTGACGTAAGCGGTCAAACATCTCATCAACAGGTGAAACATGTCTCTCAGATGAATTTTTATGTCAGTAAGTTGTAAGAACATTTTTTTCATCCTTTTAATTTCCTTTTGATTTATCCAACTACATAACAAGGATTACTGGAAATGTGTGAGAAGTCAGGGGAAACTTACTCCTCCATTGTATCTTATCCCGTCTCTGATGTTTTGGAGGTAATGATTACTCTGCTCCTATTTTGCATTGTTTTATGGACTTTGGATCTTGAATATTGTTCGTTACTCCGTATGTTTCATAAATAAATATTTTGTAGTGTCTAATAGACGTTTGAGCTCGAACACTTCGTTATTTCCACAAAATCCACCAAAGAAATCTCAACTAAATTCCTTTCTCGGAATTTTATTGCTTTCTCAAATTGACAACAATTGCAGACCATGAAAAAATTATCGGAAAAAATTTGTTCTTAGAAAAAAAATATTCTTCCGTTTTGTCTTAAGTAGATTTGAGGTATGTCACTCGTGAAATTTCTTAAATCAAGGATTTTTTGAGAAGTATATTTTTGATAAGTACTCATATATTGTAACTCAAAATCGCAGAGAAAATAAGGGGTCAGTGTGCATCTTACTGATCTACGGTACAATTAAGTTGACCTTTTTGCACTTAAATTTTAACTCTTTGATTAATTACTTTAACCTTTATCATATTTTATCAGATGTAGCCATGGCAATAAATATAATCTAATTTTACGTAAAATAGTTTGAATAATATTTATCATTGAAAAAAATCTTGCAAATTGATGCGCGTAAATTTTTGTGTGACCTTTTTGCACTAAAAAGTAACACGTTATGGGGTATTAAAAACTAAATAAGCAATAAAACATTTTCTTATATCAAACTTTTTACGACTTCAGTGCTGATCAGTCACAAGTATCGAGTAGTTTAAATAATGAAAGAAAAAGTTGGGGTCAGTGATGTTAATTTGAAATATTGGTCAAAATATGTGATTTTAAGGCGAAAAATGATGTAAATTTTATCATGACTTCTTTAAAGTATCTTCATATTTTAACAAAGTTTGTTGAGGGAAGGTGTAAACTTGTTCTAAAACTGTTAATTAAGACCTATAATAAATATTCCTAGCAATTTCCTAACGGAAAATATTCTCCGAGTAAAAGTATGTGAGGCTAAAGTTCCACGATGTCAAATTTAATAAATGTTCAGATTTGCAGAATTTTCTGTTAAATATCCTTCCACCACAAAAAATAGTCCCTCGTAAATCTGGCTTCTTTGTAGATTTTTGAGCATTTGTTTTCGTTGAATGTTAAAAAAATTATATTGTTGAATTTTAATATGTCACAACAATTGAATTTTAATAAATAGTTTAGAGGTAAGAGGTTCTGCGTGAACTTTTCTAAAAAGTTGACGAGTAACATACCTTAATTAAAGTCTCTGTTGTGTAAGATAGGTCTCAACAGATGGGTGTATCAAATCTGTAGATTTGTGAACGTGCCAATGCATTGTATATGTAATATATGTTCAGTTAAAAACTGTTGTTTTTTTAGGGATTACATAGCGAAATGTTGTTTGGAGACTAGGGATACCCATGTATTCATTGCTTGACACCTTATAATGTGCCTTCAACTTCAACACAGGAATATTTTAAAAGCCCCTTTCGTCGTACCAGGGTCATTATAGAAGCTAATGGAATTTTAGAAAACCGATTTCAGTGTCTGGGATGTTCACCTGAACAAGCAGTTGATTAAATTAAGATATCCGACCCACATTGCGCAAAAAAAGAAAAAAAAAGTGATATTTTTTACGCCATAAATCTGTTTAATACTTCCATTTGAATGTATGTACACATCAAAAAAGAGATTTACCCAAGGAAATTTCAAGAAAAGGCACGTTCTTCATTGCTTTCCTTTAATTTATAGAAATCCATCATAAAATGGCATGAAAATAATTCAAAGTGATACAAAATGATTACTTTTACATGAATATATTTACGGACATAATATATTAGTAATACAGAACAAAATAATACAATGTTCATGAAAACAAAAAAAAACCCATGAAATCTTCAAATTCAGAAAAAAAAAATTACAAGTCAATTTTAGTGCTAAAAGGTTATATTCATTTGAATGCCATCATTCTCCCAAAATAATGTGATTTAGAAAGTCGCAATAAATCAAATGCATTGCTACATGTAAATTTTGAAATATAATTAAGTTTTTGCAAGTTTAACAACAAAATATGACTTATTGTAGGATAAACAACCAGACCTTTAATGGCAAATATTATTACCTGCTGCTTATTTCTAACAATACATAAATTCAGAACAGATTTGTCATAACAGTAATTTTTCCCAAGAAGAGACATTGTACCCAATACATATGTTCAAAAATATGATCCAGATATCTAATTTACAAACACATCATAGCACTGTAAGAATCCAGTGCACACAAGGCAAATACCATAACAGTCAAAGATTGTAAATCATTCTGTTGCACTTCACTATTGAACAGGCTTATAAAATAATCATAAGCATGTAATAATATGATCCACCTATTCAATTTACAAATACATCATTAAATTGTACATGTTGTAATATACTTTCGTGTAA